CACTTTATTTTCCTCTCTTTTTTGCAATAATAATTACATATTTTGGGTTTTATTACTCCCACAGTTCTTACTACTTTTTTTTGGAAGAAAATAAAACCAAATGTGACAAAACAAAACAGAGTCAGTCAAAAGAAAGGATGGACATAGTACGTGATGTGAAAACAGAGTACAAGGTTATCAACAATGGTTACCATAATGCCTCTTGCTACCTTAAAAAGAATTGCCTATATCATCAGGTATAATAAAATTGAACAAAACAGTACAGAACAAAACCAATAAAACCAAAACATTGGAGACATTACAGGACTTCAAAAGAAGATAATAGTCAAACCAGAATGGGCATCACAGTGAATCTTATTGCCTTCAAAGTAGTTGCCTATACCTTCAAACTTGATACTGTCAAACAAAACAGAATACTATCAGTGAAAACAAGATGATGGGAGCAATACAAGAGTTCAAATCAAGTTAATAGGAAATCAAAAAAGTTACTATAATATATCCTGCTGCTTTTTAAATTTATTTTTTCCCTTACTTAAAAATTAATAAAAAATAAATTTTTAAAAAGGAGATTGAGATAAAAGAGGACATAACAACACAGGTCAGAACAGAACAATTTAAACAACATAGTGTTTCAAGATAACCCGACATAATAGTAGTTACCATAGTGTATTTCCTTGAAATATTTGAGTATAACTTCATATACTATAGCATCAAACATGTCAAGACAGTGTGAAACCATTCAAGAGAATGAAAGTATTACAGGGTATTTAGAACCAACCTACAGGAAACGAACAATAGTTTATTATCTTTGCCTATAAAATTTTTGTTTATACTATCACATATAATAAAATCCAATAAGATACAACATGATAAAACCAATGGAGACAGAAGAACAACAGCTTGATGGGACTTCAAAACAAGATGATATTAAATCAGCACTAGCTATTATGATGTCTTGTTTGCTTCAAAATAGCTATTCATACTATCACAGTCAATAAAATCAAACAACCCCGAATAAAACCATTTCGATTAATGAGTGAAAACATAAGGCTTAAAAGAAATATAACGGGGAATCATGATTACCACATACTTTTATGTATTCTTATCATTTCTTCCACTAGGGAGACTACAGTATTTATACATGAAAGTTTGATTTGTTTCACTTATGAGTGTGGTCTCAAGCTGCACCCATTTGTTTATAAATATCTCAATGTGATCCTTCTTTATAGCTGAGTAGTACACCATCATATAAAAATACCACAACTTTTTTTATCCATTCCTCAGTGTATGGACACTTAGGTTGTTTCCAAGATATGGCTATTACAAATTGTGCTGCTATAAACATGGGTGCACATATATCACTGTGGTATGATGCTTTCAGTTCTTCTGGGAATATGCCTAGAAGTGGAAGAGCTGGAACAAATGGGACTTCCAATACCAGCTTTTTGAGAAATCTCCAGACTGACCTCCACAATGGTTGCACCAGTCTACACTCCCACCAACAGTGCAGGAGAGATCCTAATTGTGCACTTTTTCAATTCTGTGTTCTAGCTGTCTGTGTTCTTGTTAATAGTTGGCTGTTTAAAATACCAGATGGGAGAAGATTCAGGAGTATGAAACATCATGACATCAGCCAAATTAGACCATTTTAACCCATAATCTTGTCAGAAATGCCTACAAAAGTTTTCACATATGTTCTCAACTTCTAGTATTTGGTAACAGCAGATGCTAGTGTTAGAATCTTATGCGAGAGAGAAGTTTCAGAATACATTATAATGATACTAGTTAATGTCTACTGAACACTTAGGGTCATTTTAAAAAAATATGTATGCAGTAACTTTGTACTTATCTTTGTGAGGTAGATAAGCACTATTATCTTCTGTATTTTACTTACAAGGAATCTACTGCACAGAGTTTCCTGATTAACTAGCAATTGGAAGAATTTTACTTCAAATCCAGTCATTCTTTTTGGAGCGTGGGCTCTTAACCACTTTTCTTCCTCCCACATCTATTGTTTACACCACAGGCAACAATGATTCATAGGGGATATCCACCATGGACTCCTTGGTGTGGCACCCTAAAATTTGTTCAAGGATCTCAGCTAGGAAAGCATTTGACAGAAGATAAAACACGCAATAGTGGAGTCAGGAGACTGGATTAAAGACAACTGCTGCCAATAGGAAATCTGAATGTATTGCAAGCTGAGAAAAGATGAAACAGTATGCAGGAGGGAAGTATTGAGTGGTGCTTAGTGAGAACACTTATTTTCTTCTCTCTTGCTTAGCTCATTCTGGAAATGAATTAATGAGTGAAATAATTTGGGCTCTAAACAGTTCTGTTCAAATGATAACCCCCACTTCATGTCTATGGTGTGCCCCCCTGGTATTAAGGGAGACTGATGGGAAGCCAGTGGTTAGGGAGGCAGCACTATGTGATCTGTAATCTGGGGCACTAGACAAGCACATGGGAGAGAGAATTGTGTAGACGGAGTAGCCAGTGATGAATTTTAAGAAAGGTGGTGCTAATGAGTTCATTCTAAGGCAAAAAAAGTTTGTGGAGGACAGGAGCAGGGTCTGGTCATCAGGGAAACCTGTTCCCCGCTGGCAACTGATGTTGTAATGAGGTCTTAGCCTTGGTACCTCCAGCCCACAGGGGAAGACTAGAGCCACTGTTACCTTCTATTTAGGTAGAGCTCATTTAATCTTGTACTCCTGTTTCTCCCATTACAGAATAGAAAGGGCTGCCACACTGTATAGTTACAGCTTCTCTCTTACCTGTCATGTTTGTAGAAAAATATTTGGTAGTTACAGTCTTGTGCATAATTTCAGTGAACCTGGGAATTAAAAAATCAAACTCCCTAAATTTGGGGGTATTTGGTACGAACAGTTTTTTCTGTCTACCTGTATCTAATATGTAGCACTCTTTGCAATAATTCTTATCTGGGCTTATCACTGTTGTATAAGTTGACGTGCATTTAAAGTACTGTAAGTAGGTAGTTTCTCTAGAAATGCAGATATTCAATTTTGAAACCCCACCATATAGAGATAGCCACATAAACAGCTTGTTGAATATTTCTCCAAACTCTACTCTTGAATACATAAACTCATGAGGGTATGTGGTAGGCAGACTTTCCCCTAAGTAAATATAGATCTATACATGTTTAATAACATCTACCTTGTGTTCTTTTATAGAACGTACCACGGTTTACTTCACCAGCTCCTTGTCTATTTATTGGTAAAGCTCCACATTGGTCATAGCTCCACATGAAAATATCTGACTGTGCTAATCCTGATTTTATGGTTTTGTTGTTATATTCACAGAGTTTTTGGTATTTATCCATTGACAAGGGATGGTGAGTCCTTATAGAAAAGAAAGAACATGAAACTGATGTCTAAGGAGAACCAAGCTCTGCTCCCAGTTCTGCTACTTAGTAGTTATGTGACCTTAAAATTACTTTACCTTTCTGATGGTAAAATAATGTTATGGATATGCGTAATACTTAAGATTTGTTCTAGTAATCTGAAGAGAGTATTACTATTTCTGATCACCGCTTAAGTGCTCCTGTCAGCTTTTTGCGCAGTGCCTCTTTGGTGCTCAGCACAGTGGCAATACACACTAGATTCCCAACACACATGCTCTGAAGGATAGAGCAGTACAGCCACTGAGTCTGTCTCCTCACCTTCCCCCATGATGAGCCATCTCCATGGCTCCTAATTTGGCTTTGTTTGGTCCCAGTGAACCTAAGACATTTTCATGTTTGCTACCTTTCTTTTGAATTTGTGCCTTTGTATGTACATTTTTAAATTGTTTGTATATGGTGTGGGTGTGTGTGTGTGTGTGTGTGTGTGTGTGTGTGTGTGTGATGGCAGAGAGAAGTATCTTGAGTAATTTTTAAAGTGTTAGTTTTCCTTCCATCGATTCTTTTCATTTTTCCCTCTCCATGCTTTCCTCCCATCTTTTCTTTTCCCCCATTTCTTGTCTTTCCTTTTCACGATTTATAGAAATGGAGAGTAATGGTATTCATTCTGTTTTAGTCACTAGTGACTTTTATCACTATTTCATAAAAAATTATCAGAAATCCCTTATTTGAGAAAACTACCTCAACCAATGAAATGTTGGTATAAGTATTCAAGAGTAAGTAGGGATTGTACTATATCGCTATGCTGAAAAAAATGTGTTGATCTAGAATAGAAGTGATGAAAACTAATTTTACTGAGTTACTTTACTCACTTTATCCAAGACCCAATTATTTTGAAGATTTAATTTAAGGAAAATTTAATAGCCATATTGTGGACATTCCAAGGGTGAGCAGGTGCCTTTAATTGTTCAGTATATGTCCTGAACCAGTTTTGAGTGAATTCTTTCAGAAAAAGTTATGTACTTTATGTACTTTATTCTCTTCTGAATGAAAGTATTCTGTACATATTGAACTTTTTCTATTTTGGGGATGCTCACAGGAAGTATTTAATATATCATGCTTTAATTAAGAGGTGCTTTCAGAGACTCTTCAAGAGAGATGTTTAATCTTAATCTTGTGCTTTGTGGACCAGTATTCTGCACTGTTAAATAGTTTTCCTGTCTCTTCTGGGGATGAGGTCCCAGCTGACCGATCTGACTCTTACAGGCCTCTTTACCTCTAGCTCTTTATAGCTCCATCCCCCTTCTTACTGTTTCAGTTTAGTGGTGTCTAGTTATGTAACAAAACACACAAACTTAAGAATTTTAATAAATGAATGACAAATACTACATAAGAGTGGTTTTAAAAGACTTTCTCAGTATATTTATTCAACTTAGTTCTTACCTAAATTCCAGAGGTATTTGTTTTCTGGAGGAGTTTTCTTCAGATAGCGGTTTTCTGGTATGTAACCCACAATTCTGGTGTGAATGTGAACTCTTTCTTTTTAAGCCAGAAGAGGTGGCTTTGCCCTCATCCCTGCAGGTGCATAACCCCCATTTATGCTGTTTCATTTGTATCTGACCACTTGGTTCTTGTTTTGCAGTCCTCAGTCTGTCCCAGATCGTCTGAGAATCCGGGTGAACAAAATCAGTTTACAAGACTATGAAGGATTCCACTATGACAAAGAGAAACTCCGGGAAGCTTGTAAGTTGCAAGTGTGTAATGGATTTCATGTGAACCACATGTCTTCAGCTTCTTGATTCTCTTTTGTTTGATGGATAGGTTCAGTAAGCCCATGTGTCTGAAAACATGGTTAGAGAAGTGAAGAGAAATATGGTAATATGTGAGCTTCTGGTCATACTATATGGGCTGGGGAATAACTAAGAATGAAAAGCAGTGGAGTCCAGTCATTCTGCTGTGGGACCCACATCAGGAGCTCTGGACTTGTTTAGCACTTTAGTATCAGTGTTATCTAAAATGAGAAAAAGCTGGTGACACTGCATGGTAACATTCACAAATGCTTTGAGTAACACCAGACTCTTCCTGGAGCCTGCATTATCAAATACTTTCCTCATCTTTTTGTAGGTGCAGTGCACACCTACCACTTTGATTTCCTAGGCTGTTGTATTTATGTAAAAGAAAGGCTCACAGAATGTGAGACGTTATGATCACTGAATGATTCATTAATAATGAAGGACCATTGTTTCTGAAATTTTCAGTTAAATCCACACATGAATTACTTTTCACGTTTATATTTCCTTTATATCTCTTTAAATACATAACTAATTGTTAGCTTACTTCATTAATCTTCATTCACTAGAGATTTATTAAGCAGAACTCTGACCAGTCTCCCAACGTAAGTGCAGTAGAAAGTGGAAGAGGCCATAGTTAACTTAGCAGGAACTGGGGTGGGAAATGTCCCAGGGGGATTTCAGATTCCTGAATCTGTGATCTACAGAGAGCTTTGTGGATGGAAATCCAGAACGTAGGACAATCTTAGGAGGGGTTGGAAAATTCTTAGTATGCTGTGAGCCAGTGTCCTTTCCCCTGGTGGCCCATGCACAGAGCCTGCTACAGACTTCTCTGTTCTTCAGCTGCTTGAGCTTCCTCTGTCCTTTTGGTTGATTTCCTTAAGCATCAGTACCTTTGGTTTTGTCTTAACCTTCACTTCCATTCTTCACTCTCATTTCTTTGGTAGCAAAGTAGGACTGAATGGGGAGTAGTTCTCTAAATCTCTGCTTTTCTTCCTTCTGTTAACACCATTATATTTTCTAATGTAAATGACATCTAAATTTGAGTGATGAATACATACATGTGTAAAATTGCAGTGAAAAGATAGCTACAGTATACATTCAATTGACTTTTAGAAGCTGTTGATTAGGAAGAAGAATGTTTTGTGTTCTTCATTTTGAATTTCCAAATGAGCAGCATAAAAAATAGTAAAAGATAATGAATCTCAAGCCATAGTTTGACTTTTACTATCAACTTTGAAGAAAGTCAGTAGGGACTGGGGATGAATTTGAAATTTCGGAATGAAATGAGATTTGTTGTTTACCTGTTCCCTTTCAATGATATGTTCTATCTTTTCTGTGACATTCTTTGTATACCATTGCTAGAGGTAATTGTGATTGGAGTTTTTATAGAAAAATGATGTTTCCGAGCACATGCTTTGCTCATCATACCTTATGTGATAAAATTTCTATGTGGAAAAATATCTTAAATAGGGACAAGTATTTGGCATAAATGTATGTCCAACAAGTTCAGTGGTCTTTGGAACCTGAAAAGGGGATATTATAAAGATCTGAGCTTGAAAAATTGGATTTAAAATTTGATTTAAAAATTGAATTGGATTTAAAAGTTACATCAGTCATTCTATTTTTAACATATGACAGTGATGCTTCCTAGTTGCCCATGAAAGTTTATCCTTTGAAGTTATAGCTTTTACTCTTAACTTTGTTCTTTTCCATGGCTCCAACTTGTAACTGATGACAACAAGCTCATGGGAGCTTACAGACTTCAAACTGAATACAATGGCACAAAAAAAAAAACAGTTTATGTGTGATGTGTATGCCAAATTAGATACTGTTTCAGAAGCATTAATTAAATGCAAATCCCAGAACACATCTAGATAACCAATCTAGAGTCTAGGAATATACTCTGACCTGTATCCTAGGAGAAGAAAAAGTGAGCTCTTTTAAAACAATTCATTGATAGCCAACAAAGTTTGAACTAAAACAGCAGTGTGTTAATCAGTTTGAAAAATGAGTTTCCTTTCTCAATGGCATGAGTAAATGATTTATTCAGGCAGCATGTAGCTGTTCGCCATCAGCATTTAACAGATTCTTGCCCATGTGTCTAAATTGCTGCTCATAGAGATTACAAGCGTGGATGTTTGTTGTCTACCAAAGTTCTGCTTCTATCTGTAATGAAGAACTCCCTGATAATGCAGAACTTCAGCTCCTTTAATTGGTTTACTTATTTCAGCATGAAGATGACTGTACTATGTCCAATATTTCCCATCTCCCTTCCATTTAGAAAACCCTCTCTAAAAGAAAGGATGAGTCCTTGACAATCTCTTTCCCAGGTTGTGTTGATTAATTTCAGACTTTGTTAAAACAGTCTCCCTCACTGTTGTGTTTAGATCTAAACATCTCCCTGTAGCCTCCTGTACCTGGAATGTAATTGGATTACAAAGGTGTGCTATTCACTAGTGGATTACTCCACTTGTGAGTTCTTAGCTGACTTGCTCTTAGAAGATGCTCCTCCTTATATCTGGGTTACTTGTGACAAGACCTGGAAGGTTATATTCTTCTCCCTGGCTCCTCCCATGTTTCTTTGCTTCCTAAGAATTATGAGTTGAGATCTTCTTCTCTGCCATGCCTCTCTGCCATCTTGTTTCTGTCTTGGAGCCTGCTGACCATGGACTGAAACTGTGAGCCAGATAAACATGTCCTCCTTTAAATTGCTAGTGTCAGGTATTGTGTCTCAACATTGGGAAATGACAATAGTGCACACTGGAGTTGATGGTTATAGTTTGCAATAAGGGAATGTTTACTCAACTGAAAAGATAGAAAGTAAAGAGAAAGTGGCCATATTAAAAAATATTTCAAAGCCAATCTATAATAATTTCAGCAGAAAATCACTACCATCAGCTGAATGCGGTATGTAAATGAATCATTTAATTATGCATGAAGTCATATGGACTGGGTAAAGATAGTCTTGTTTTCTAGCTCTGAAAGCAATTCATTGACCAGGCATGTATTTTTTATATCTAGAATAACTTGATACTGGCCAAAACATAACTCTATCCCATGAGAACTGATTAAGATTAAATTAATACTAGCTAACTCTGTATGTTTGAATTGTTACGATATTTCACAAAAGTCTAGGGCCTAGAACACTAATAGCTAGAGTCAGTTTTGAGCCAACTGAAAACAATTATATTCTATAAAGGTGATGCTCAACAACACTTTAACACCCACTGTCTCAGTATAAGGAATATAATGTATAGTACATATGTGCTAAATATATTGGTTGATATTCATGACATTAGGATCTCTAAATTAGGTACAGCATTCAGGCATTTTCACTAATGGAATTTCCCTGGTAAATGATTTAGTAAAAAAGTCAGAAAAGTTTGTATTGAAATCTCAGTTGCAACCCTGGCAAGTAATTTAATTTCTCTAATGATAGAATCTCTCATCCCTAAAATGAGAATATAATTGCAACCTCATAGGGTGCTGGGGTTAAAAGTAATCTCATACATGAAACCCATGGTGCTAAGCCTGGCTCATTGCCATACCTCCAATCTGAAGGTTCATAAAGCCAGTCCCAAGGAGGGGCTGACTTCCTTGTACTTGTGCATGCCACCAGCCTCCAATTCAATTCCACAACTGCAAAAACTCAACTGAGAACACTTAAGTACATTTCCTCCTTCATCAGGTTAGTCCTGGGACCCCTCGTGTATACCAGAATCTATGGGTGGTCAAATTTTTATATAAAAAAGATTGGTATTTGCATATAATCTTTGCACTTCCTTTTATATACTTTAAATCATCTCTAGATCACTATGACATGTAACATAATATAAATGTTAGGTAAATAATTACCATACTGTGTTTTTTAAAAATTTTATTTAAAAGGAAAAAGAGAAAAACACAAAACAAAACAAAGCGGTGTAAGGGTACACGTAATATAGAACTACAAAAAAAAAAAAAAAAGTAAGAAATCACCTGTTAATAGATTACATATTATCATCTTAGAAATAGTTGCTCAAATCACAGTATCAAAGAATACAAAGTGGACATTCAAACAGTGAGACTGCAAACAGCTGTGTTCAATGATCCAAAAACATTAATATAGTCAGCTATTTAACACCCCTCAACACACTTGCTGTTATATCCTGTATTTTTATCCTGAATTTGCTTTTATTATGCCTACTAGTATAAAAGATTACTCTGCTGACAAGATATTTAGACCTATAAGTCATGTACACACATGCCCATATTTGATGAGCTGGACAGATATTTACAATTTGGATCCTCTGCTACCCATCACTGAATATTTTTAAATTTTATATTTTGAAATAATTTTAGATTTGTAAGACTGTTACAAAGTGCTACAGAGAGTTTATATTACTGAGGTACAGTTGTTGAGGAAGCATACTGCTACATTAAAGTAAACTGTTGGAATTTCTACTCCAGGGTGCAGTCCAGTACACCCCATTTTACATTAAACTGGTCTGTCTCTCCCCTGTCTCTGATACTGACTGAGCATGGTTTTAAGTTTATTATTGGACAGCAATCTGGTAGAATATCCTCTCTAACTTTCATGGGGGTTCTACTTATAATTAAACTGGTATCATGCATGCTTGGAAAGAATATTGCAGAGGTGGACAACACTTCTTGACTCACTATAGCAAGAGCTACCTGATACTGGGTGCCATGTTGGGTGATATTAACCTGATCATATGGTTAAGATGATATTTGACACTCTGTGCTGTTTCTTAAATCTACTATAAAATTACTGTTTTTCTCCTTCTTGCTGTATTTTTCAGAAGTCAGTAAGTCTAACCCACTTGCAAAATGGGAGGAAAGCTGGATGTGGTGGCACATACCTATAATCCCAGCAATCTTGGAGGTTGAGGCAGCAGGGTTCCAAATTTAAGCCCACACTAAGCAACTTTTTGACTTAGCACAATTCTG